CCATGTCATACAGGGCTGAGTTAGTGTCAAATGACTTCTGTGCTCTACAGATCCCATCCCCAAGGTCCTGCCAACCTAATGGAGCCAGTGAAGAAACCCTGCGGTGTGAAATCGAAGAGCTGAAGCAGAAAGACCTTGCTCTAGACCAGGAAATTGCACAATTACTCTCCGAGTATGTGCTTGGCAAGCTCTGTGTTTTCTGTGGTGTCTCAATTATTTTTGTTTTTAAAAGAAAATATGGTCCAGGAATTAGAGCTAAAAGCTGGCCTCTTATGGTGGCATTTCTATCGTGTTGCAATGCAGTGTTGATTACAGTGTTGGTTTGAGCTACGGAACCTATTAAAGACAAGAGAGAATTCTTGCCGGTTTATTTGGTAAAGCAAAACAAGTTTTACTAGGAGCTTGGGTAAGAGGATTTTAACTTCACCCCTGATGTCGCTGAGGTAATTGTGTTAACTGGGAAAGCATAATTTTAACCATCATGATATTACAACACCTGATGGCACCAGAAGAGCTTGTTTGAATGAGCATTACAATTGAGATCATGACTTGTACGACCTGACGAATTTAGTCCCAGACAAAAGTGTTTCCTCTTCTGTTCCATCGTGATGAGTTGTTTTGTGGGTGAGTGGGTTAAACCTTCCTGTTCCAGAAGCAGACGTGTTTCCAGGCAGGCAGGTGACCTGTAGAGCACTTGACAGGACAGTAGCCCAACTGTTCTGTTGTGGTTTCTTCTGACACTGTGGCAGCTGCTTACTAGCAACTGCTTTGAGATAAAATTACTGCTTGATTTTTTTTAAAGAGAAGGAATGTCTGTGGGTTGTCCATTGCAAAGGAGTCCTGTTTTCTAAGATCATATATAGTGCATGGAATGGCAATGGTAGAACAACAAAGGCTGTTCCAAAACCTTTTTTGTTTCATTCACAAGGATAAAGACTTCTTTATTTTTTTCCCCCTGTCTTACAGATTAGAGATACATATAAATTGACTTCACCACAGCCTATCTCCATCTCTGCTTGATTCTGAGAATTCGGGTGGATTTTTTATTTATAAGTCTTGATTGTGGGGGGAAAAAAAGGCACCTAAAAATGAGGATCTGTTCATTAGTAGCTTCCATGTTTATGCCTTGCAGCAACAGCACTTGCTGCCTTCACATTCTGCTTTGGAGATGCCAGGGTTGGGTGTCTCTGGCCCCCTGAGCGTGCTCGGTCGGCGGTGGCAGCGACCCCGCGGTGGCATTTTCTGACCTTCCTGGTGTTGTTACAGAGGCTACAGCCTGGAGGAGTTGGAGCAGCACATCTCTCTGCTCCATGAGTATAACGAGATTAAAGATGCTGGACAGATGCTGCTGGGCAAGCTGGGTAAGGAACGGGGAAGCTGCTGGAGAGCTTCTTAGTCAGTGTTTTCATACAGTCTGAGAGAATAGCTGCTGTGACATGAAGACAGAGCATGTGTTAAAGGCTGATATTACCTGATCCCTCCTGCAAGCACAAATGCTTCCGTCATTCTTTTCTTGGGATGTTTTTAGAACTGAAGTTGTGAAATAATTGTAATTTACCAGTGTTTTAGTCTGTGTTATGGATTACCCAATCCAACTTGATCTTACTAATTTCTGTCAGAGTTGTTTTTCATATGCTTACGAGAAGAAAAGTGTTGAGACAAGCAGAGAGCAGAGCTGCAGAAACTTAGATTGGTTTCTTAGCTATGGGAGGTTCTGTGGGATAGTTAGGGAGGAAAACACAAGTTTTTTTTGACTAGTCTGATCTTTGTTTAATGAAAGCAATGGTGTTTCTTTTCTAGCTGTTATCCGAGGGGTTACCACAAAGGAGCTCTACCCTGAATACGATCTGGAGCTTGGCGACTAGTATTGAACCTGAAGACTGCCACGTACTGCAGAACTGACTGTTTCTGGGCCACTGTGTTTTGGTGTCATATTGGTTTAGAACTGGCATAAGGTAGCCTCAGAAGTACATGTGTAGAATTGCAGCAGAGCATGGGTTAACAGCCTGGTTTCTAAAAAGTCTGGAATATGAAAGGTGTCAAACCTATCGACTGTTTCCTGCTTGTAGGACTTTGGATAATTAAATCTACCCAATCAACAGCATTCTTTTTTTTTTTATTGTAAAGGTTGTTATTCAGGTTGATGTTAAGACTTTCTACTTAAGACCTTTGCTTCTTTACAACATCCAGGGGCTGATCAGATGCCGAACGGAGAGAGGAAGTGAGGGCACACAAATGTGCAATGTAATAGCTGCTTGGGGAGAAAAGGAAAAGACCCTCAGAATTAGGGAGGGAAGAAGGCCACAGCTGTAGTGGTTTGGGGGTCTTGATTTGTTTTATGGTCGAATCTGGGTGACTCTGGGTGTTCTGCATTTCTGTATTAACTACTCTGGTATCTAGAGGTTTTGTATCATTTCTGTAGGAAATAGCAAATATGAAGTGGTGTTCAGCTGTCCAATCTGAATAAAGCAACTATCACATTTCTCAGTGATTCACTTTAGGAGCCTACAAAACATTGCATGAACCTAGGAACAAATATAACTATATTTTGAGACAACTATAACATCTATTATTGAAATGTTTTATGAGGACTCTTAATGGAGACAGTGTGGCAGCACTCCCCAGTAATGGGTAGGTGCAGAATTACCTTTGCTCTCTTCTAAATGCAGAGTCACTGTGAAAGTGAGGGATGTCCCAAATAAAATTGTGTGGAGAGCGTGAGTGTTTCAATGTCAGGTGTTAGGAGTGAGGGTGACTGCACAGACTAAATTTGGCTGTTTTGAGCAGTTCTAAGTGATTGAGTGCTCTGCTGACTGCAGATCCCCTGTCCCTTTTTCACTCAAGCTTGATGTCCTTCTGCCCATTTATACTTCTAAGACCTTCTTACCAGTAAGTTTTCCCCTGTGGTCTCCAGTCAGGCTGCAGTCTGCTTGTTACTTCCAAATTTGAATCGAATGAATCTGTAGTGTGTGGAGAACAGAAAATGGTCACAAGGCTGCTGCTGAGAACAGATAATTGTTCTTCCATTCTTGGTTCTGGTCCTGGCACAGAGCATCACTAATAAGTGTCTTGTTTTGCCACAAAAGCTGTGGGGAGGGCTCTGAAGCAAGGGGACAGGCAGAGCCCTCATGCTCAGGGAATCATTCATGCAATTCTCTGCTAAAGTGCAGCTGTTGCTGCTCTGGAGGGTATTTACTGCAGCCATCTAAGATTTGGCTACAGGCATATCCTCCCTGCCATAAACCCCTCTTGCCAAGCGTGGGAAACTCCTGTTTTGGAGTAGTTTCAAGGGAAGGAAAAAAGTCACAAGAAGACTAGAACTGGGAAATGCTAACTTTGTTTTCAAAACTCAGGTTCCTGTTTTGGCTGGCATTTTCTGTGTGGAAGATCTGGTTTAGCCTGGAGTGTTCCAACCAGAATGTTACATCTGGCAATGGCACATGCAGCTGGAAATGGTTTTTGCCAGTAGTATGTACAGAAAGTCCTTCAGTGTGTGTTAGGCATATAGTCCATTACCAAAGTTACTGAAGGTTATTTAAGGAGTGAAAAGTCTGTTTTCTTCTCACAGGAGCACTAGGATTGAACCCTGCAGCTGTAGCTGTGCCCGTGCTCTGGCTGGCCCAGGCACTCGTGCTTTTGCAGGGGCAGGTTTACACTGCACTTACACGAGACAGCTGCCTGTGGGAGGTGCCCTGACCCCAGTCCCTCCTCCACAGAGCACGGACACAGAACCAAGCAGCTGAGGTAAGAGCCAGCTGCCCTTGGGGAGCCCCTGTGGCTCTGCAGCAGGCATGGTGACAAGCTCTACTGCTGTTCTGGCTGCCCTGTGCAGAGCAGGGGGACCCAGAACTAGTGAAAGATTCCAGGTCTCAGTTAATGAGTCCTGGGGTGCTTCAGGACAGCACTGCACTCTGCCACTTAGGCACTTCCTCATGGTCCCTCTCACCACTCCTCCCAGAGTTACTTGTACATTAATGGCCATCATCTGGAGGATGAAATATGCTGGCCTTTGTCCAAATCCAGATGGGGAGGAGAACAAATCTTCTGCTTTCTGTAAATAAACCTCCAAACTTGCTAGATAAGTGTACAGCCGGAAAAATACCAAGTGAAACAATGGTAAGTGTAACTTCAGATTTTAATTTAAATTTAGATAGTGTATTTCTGCAAAGTCAGACACAGTTACAATGAGCTAATGGGGAACAAAGGGTAATACAGAGCTTACAGAGTTTCACTGGATGGCAGTACACACTGTCTGCCTGGAGCTACTGCAGAACAGGACATCACAGACTCCTGAACACCCTTGGTTCTTACAGGGGGAAAAGAAATACAGCAGCTTGCTATTTTTTAATGAGTTTGTGTCCTCCTGGATGAGGACTGAGCCAAGAACCAGTTTCTTCCACTTTAGGTCACTTTCAGTTTATTTGTCTCTTGCACATCAATCCCTATGACAAGCCACTTTCCTCCTCACACCAGCCTACCCTGGATACAACCATTTCCTTGCATTGCTATGTGTAAGCTGTTTTCTCCTGCACATCCCTCTTCTAGTCTAACTTTGAGTTCTTATGTGTCTCAGAGCAGTGCTAAGGGAAAGAAAATACTCCAGACAACAAAAGGAAAATAAAATCCATATAGTAGATAAATTATGCTGCCAGGAACAAACAAATCAGTGCCATCAAGGGAACACAGCTCTCTACGACGCTATTTCCTGCTGCTAAACAATTTGGGGATGGGTTTTTATATCCCTTAGCAACCTAATGTTCCCGAAGTCAACAGGAATTTTGGCACAGCTAACTCCTGTTAATGAACTGTTTGCGATGCTTTAAGAAAAATTATACAGTCTGTCACTGAAAAAAAAAAGCCTCTCTGATTAAAGTCATCTCAAGGAACGTGGAAGTGAACTGCAATTAACCTCTTCCCTTCTGCTGTCCATCATGCTGTCAGCATGGAGCAGTGTTACCCTGCTGCAGAGGTTGCCTTGGGCGTCCCCCCGCAGCCCACCCTCAGCTCTCTGCAGCGTGGGCCATCTCCACATCCAGCTCGTGCAGATGACTTTCCTCCTGACGGCCTAGTGTCTTCTCTATCTCCTTTTTCACTCTGAGCCGACAGTTCCAGATTGCATTCTGTACACTCTGCAGGTTCCACTGGGTTCTCAGCAGGGCATCATCCAGCGTGAAGACGCCGTCGCGCGTCCGGCGCACCTGCGTGCACACGGCAGAGGACTTCAGCTCCAGCCCGATCTCGTGAACTGTTTTTCGGAGGTACTGCTGAGTCTCATGCAAGCAATGGATTTCTAGAAGGACAGAGAGATTCCTTCAGAAGTGGCAAAATACTGACAGAAATTCAGACTTTGTAAATCCAGACATTGCTCTGAAAGAACTAGTTTGGTAGAAAGGACTATTTAAGATGCAGCATGGGTGGATTATGGTTTTCAGGAATACTGTAGGGTGTCTTAGCTCTTCCCAAAGTTAATGCTTTAAAAAACAAACTCAGAGACACAGGAGAGTTATGTAAAAATGTAGGTGTTTCAAACTGGGTAAGAAAAGGCACTTAACAGGGCAAGTAATTTGTGAGGAGACTGGCTGTAGGGAAGCAAACCACACACTAAAAGAACCAAACGCTGAACTGCATTACTCTGGAACACTGGGATAAGGAAGAATTGCACCCCACAGTATTCACTATGCAAATTTTATTGCATCAGTCCAAGATCTGGAACTGGCAGTGAAAACCTGTGAGCTGGGTGCCCACTGGCTTAATTTCTAAAGCATCATGAGGGTTCCAGGTCTTGCCCTACCAAAAAATTTTTCCACCACACTAAAGAGTACATCTAAGGAGAAGGTGCCTTTGTGACTCTGGAAACTACACCACACTAAATGTTCTGCAGAGATTACCTGTTATGTTGTTCCCACCAACTCATTTGGCATTAAATCACCAATAAGAAACTGAAGTTTCCTGACTTGTTTGCCATAACATGTACCCAGCCTCCCCCAGTACACTTTGTACTAGTCCCACCTAGCTGGAACTCGGGAGGTGTGAACTGGAGGCACCGGATTGCTGTGATTATCGGAGGGCTTTTCCCCATGGGGCGGATCAGCCCTTTGACAGCCAGCTCATATGCTTCTTGTGTTTTCATGTCGATGTTAGAATACCTGGGAAATTCAAAAGGGAGCAGACATTTAATACTTCTCTTCAATGGGATTCAAAACACCACCTCCAACAAAGCACAGCTTCAATTTTTATTCTTAAAACTGCCTACGTGCTGAGTATTTGCATATGTTTTAATGCTGTCTTAAGTGTACTGTCCAGTAGTGCAGCAGTTTGGACAGGAGGTCCTTGGTAATGTCTACCAGACATTTTTGTAGGTCCTAATGTAACTAATAGGTCCTAAAATAGAAGATTTCAGGATAGAAGGACACTTAACGGCAACCTCTCACCAGAGCACAGAGCATGTTCTCTCTGTTCCTGTCTAGCACTCCAACCTTTAAAGACTGATGATGGCAAACAAAATGATCTCATTTGTTTTAAAGGTCAGCAAATGGCAGTGGGATCAGGTTGGCTGCACTGGATACGTACATCAGCAGGGCCTTATGATTGCTTCCTTGAATGACAGCGAGAATCCGTTCCAGCTTCTCCCTTGTGATATGATCTGCAATTATTAAGGTAGAAACAAAGTCTCAATTATCCATCCAGAAGTGGGACAGAGACAACAGCAGCCCGAAATGTGCTGCCAGGGCATTACTGTCCCTTTGGCAGGTGGTCACATCAAAATGGGCTGATGAGAACCACCAAGAGGTGGCTTTAGCAGAGTCACTTCTGGCTGTACCACGGTAACACATGGAGCAGCACAGCACTGGACTACAAAGGGAAGAATTATTTTGCTTGATTGATTTTAAGATGCTTGCTTCAGTTTCTCTTATCTGGTGTCTGAAGTGTCTCATTCAATGAAAACTTCTTTACAGAGAGATCTGGGTCCCACCCAATCCAGTAGCAACCACTGTGATGAGAACTCCTACTGGCTTTGGATATATTGTGGTTGGATTTAGAACAGATGGATGACGACGTCAGGATTGCATGTGGGCTGCATGTATAAAAGAATGACTAGAAAGAATGTAAGGTGTCCCTCTTATCACAGTGCAGTTCACCTGGTTAAATGTTTCATAGTCAGTATGCTGTTGTTTGGTGTTCTGGTTTGTTTTTTCTTTTTTTTTTAAAAAAACACATCAGCTCAGGTTCTTACCAAATGTTGTCTTCTCTATTAGCTTCCCTGTGTCTGAGAAGTCATCAGTGGCTTTACCAAACAGCCCACCAACAGTGTAGACCTTGAAGAAGGGCAAAGAGTGCAATTTATCAAAGAAACACTCAAAGAAATGGAGTAGCAATATTCTGCCATGCAGCTGCTAGGAAGCACAGGCTACGATAACGTTGCACAAAAAGCAGTATCCTCTACTCATATGAAGGATGAAATTCTGGACCCTGAAAAGCTCTCAAAAGCATTGGTGGGTTTGAGACTGTAACAGGGAATCCCTGTCACAAGGCCAGGCTGGGGCAGGAATCCAGGGTGCAGTTGCACATGGATATATTGAGGCTGTTCAGAGCCATCCCCTACCTTGGTCAGGTGGCAGTTGTACAGGTCAGTGAGGAGCTTGTTGCCGTGGCCTATGCCAAGTACTGAAACACAGAAGACAGAGAACTCATCATTCAGCCACTTGGAAAGTTACTGATGTGCTTTTACACAGCACTGCACATTGATGCTGCTTTTCCTCCCCCCAGACAGGGCCCTATCTCCTTAGAAGTCATGATTGAGTCCAAATTAGACCCCCAAATTACTGCCTGTCATTAGAAGTATGATAAGCTTGTAACAAGGGTGCTTGGATGTCCCCAGATCTTTCCACCTGGGTCCCTCAGGGTAAATGCTTTGCAGTGCTGGCCACAGGGAGTGGAGATGGGGGTTAAGTGGCACATCTCTGCCAGCATCACGGGCAGATCAGTCAGGATAAAGCCCTGTGTGCTGGGATAAGGGCTTGCTCCCGGCCCCGGCACT